AGGCGCCGAGCCATTGAACTCTTGAGCTCAAGCAATTCTCCTGCCTGGGCCTCCCAGAGTGCTAGGATTATGAGCATCAGCCACTGTACCCGGCTGAGCTCTATCATTCTTACAGATGAAAAAACCAAGGCACATGTTTAAGGTCAAACAGCAGGAATGTAAGGCACTCGAGTATGAAGCAGCAAGCCTGGCTCAAGCCCTAGCTCTGCTATACTCTTCCTCAGCAAACCCAACAGCAGTTCTTGAAGGTGATAACCCCTAACTGAAACGGTTTCCAACTGCTTGTCCAAACTGTGTCCTCTACTGACATCCAGACCTCAAAGGCACTACTGCATCTGGAGCGGTGAGACAAAAAGCCCTCTGGCTTGGGGGGAACCACAGTGCCTGAATGAAGAGCCTAGAGTACCAGAGGAGTGTGAGGCAAGAGCTGGCACAAGGAGAAGAGAGGGTACTGGGCAAGAACTAGAAGATGCAAAGACTGGAACGGTGGAATCATGACCAAGGACAGGGCTGTCACTTCAGAGACTGGGGGTCACTCAAGTATGTGGATGGGAAACATCAGCAGTGTTAAGGCAGCACTCTGGAAAGACAAATGTGCCAACATGTGCAGGCTGTGGAATAGACTCAGGGCAGCCGGAAGGTGAGACCAGCCAAGAGACCTGGTTGACGTAAGAAGGTGCCCAAATCTGCCTTTTTTTAAAACAAGTCCTCTGGATGGAAGAGAGAAGACTATAATTCATTCAGAACACGCAGAGAGCTGTACTATCCCCCAGATGTCTGGCTTGTTGCCATCTCACACTCAACTTGCTCTTTTCTTCCAGTGCTAACTGGTCATCTGGCCTCTGTGGAACACCCAGAGCAAGAAAAGGTCAACCGTGTTCTAGGGCCGCCCCTGCTGTTGGAATGATGTCTAGAGAGCTTCAACCTCTCTGTCCCTGTTCTACCTTCGGGGGCAAGAGGGCTCCAGTTTCCCATAAACCTTCTGCTCTAGGCTCTATATCCCAAGTTCCTTCACACATTTTCACTTAGCTCAAAAGTCCTTGCCATCCTATTTTTCTTTTCTTTCTTTCTTTTCTTTCTTTTTTTTTTAAGAGACAGAGTTTTATTTTGTTGCCCTCGGTAGAGTACTATGGCATCACAGCTCACAGCAACCTCCAGCTCTTGGGCTTAGGTGATTCTCTTGCCTCCACCTCCCAAGTAGCTGGGACTACAGATGCCTACCACAACACCTGGCTATTTTTTGTTGCAGTTTGGCTGAGGGCAGTTTCGAATCTGCCACCTTTGGTATGTGGGGCCAGCGCCCTACCCACTGAGCCACAGGCGCTGCCCGCCATCCTATTTTTGTCTTGAAGAATTCTACAATCTCTGGTGCCACAAATGAACAGCAGGTATGGTTAGACCATCCAAGAGGGAAACTGGATCCAACCCAGGCTCACCATATACATAGTGACTCTGCAGAAGATAGAGAATAAGCCTGGAGAGCCATACAAGACCCAAGTGCCATTTGTCAAGGGCGAACTCATTGAGTGACCTTCCTGGTCTCTGAAGTGACAGCTCTGTCCTGTCCTTGGTCAGGTTTTACTGCTCCAGTCCTTGCCTTCTGAATGGTCCTGTCCAGAGCGCTCTCTTCTCCTTGTGCCAGCTCTTGCCTCACACTCCTCTGGTACTTCAGGCCCTTTGTATAGCCACTGTGAAGCCACCTCCACGTCTCAGTCTCCAGCCACCCAAGTCAGGGTGCTCTGTCTCATCTTCTGGAGTGTGTACCCTGGGAGGGGCAAAACTGTATCTGGTATACGTGGTGACCTTTGCAATTTCTCTGAGCCTGTTGGATAAAGTAACATTTATCCAACGCTTACTACATGGCAGATACTGGCCCAGGTGACTTACCAGCGTAACTCATTTTACATCACAAAATCCTAGAAGACTGATGAGCCAGATACTGTGGCACAGCCTGTCAGGCAGGTCAGTCCCCTAGCCCCATGATGTCACCCACTCTGTTCTCCTATCCAAGGTCACACTGTCCTCATTTGGCCTGGCTGGAGTTTGAAGCCAAGTCTCTCTGACCCTAAACCCATCCTATTAGCCACTGTATCAGATGAATACTTCCTAGAATTGCTAATGAGCAAAATAAACAAGACAAGATATGTCTAAATGCTGTCTTTTTTTTTTTTTTTTTTTCAGAGACAGAGTCTCACTTTGTC